CCCCAAATGAAGTCAACCCCCCCACCTTCAGGAAGCTCCCAGTCTTGGTGGGAGGGAGGAGACAGGAAGCTATGTGGTGGGCCTGTGATGGGCCAGAAAATAGCTGTGAGCACATAGAACCTCCATCCTGGGCCAGGCCCATGTTGGGCAGAGAAATACACCACCTTCCAGGTACCCACATCAGTGGCATGATGAGATGAGCACATCCTGAGGAACTCAGCCAGTGGCATCTGAGCTCAGGGCTGAGGGTGGACTCAACAGACGGTCACGGCTGTGTGTGGCCGAGTAGGAAGAGGTGGTGGGCTGTGGGGCACCAGGCCACCTTCCCCACAGAGCTGGCCTCTAAAGGCAGGATCTGGAAACTGAAGAGAGAAGTGGGGCTTCCAGGGAGAGAAGACACGGAGAGGGGGACTTGGGAGCGGAGTCTGGGTTCAGTATCCCGCTCCTCTTTCTTGTTTGCCTTATAACCTTGGGAGAGTAATTTGTTGCTCTGAGGTTTAGGCTCTTCCTATAAAAGTATAATTGGGTCCACCCCTCAGGACCACCCAGAGGACGGAATGTGATGCATGTAAATTAAAGAATCCATCAAGATTTGAGGCATAACGTTGGTATTTAATGCTTGCTTATTTTATCATTTCAGGCAGAAAGGGGGATTTGGGTTTTAAGAGCTATAGTATAGACAGCACAGTGAAAGCTTCTGATCCCTTCAGCACCCTGGTACACCTGGTGTCCTCAGGGACTCTGGGGCTCCATTCACCAGCCCTCTCTTCATCGGGGTGGACTGGGCACCCCAGGCCCCCTCCCCCGGCTATCTCCGGAGCTGGACCCCTTTGAAGCGCCTGTGAGTCTATTTTGAGAACTGAACGTCTCCCCCCTCCCCTCCTCTCTTCCTGTTTATGAAACCCTGATCCCTCCCGGATCCCTCATGCTCCCCTGGCTGTCGCTCAGGCAGGATGTGACTGTGGACTTCAGGGAGCCTCAGGTGTTCAGAGGAACTTCCTTGGACTGGCCAGGCAGGCTAGCCCACCCTCCCAGCACCTGGCACCCTGTGGCTGGTCTCTGCCCCTTCAGCCTTCCCAGAGGAGACCCTGTAGCCCTAAGACTGCCCATCTAATTAAGGAGTTCTGTTTATAACATCCCTTTGTCTCTGTGGTCCTTTGTTTCTAGGAACAACCATCTGAGGGTGGAGCATCTAGTTTTAACCCCTTTTTTACAGAGGAAGAAACCGAGGCTCAGGTAGGGAGAGCAGGTTGCCTTGGAGCACTCAGCTAGTGAGTATACGGTTCTGAACTCGCCACCATTCACTCTTGGCCTCAGCCTCTTGTTCATGCTGGTCTCTCTCTGCACCATCCTTTTTTCCTCCTTTCTGCCAAGCTAACTCCTTTTCATCCTCAGGGTTCAGCTGGACTTCCCTTTTCCTGGAAGGCCTTACTGGTCCCCATGCTAGGTAGATATAGTTACCACCTTTGGACACCCATGGCACCTTGATTGCAGCTCTGCTGAGGGACAATTGTGTTTTGTTATCATGTATTTATTTTGGGAGCTTCCTGAGCACAAGGCTGGAGTCTGGCTTACGTGTGCATCTCCTAGTGCTCCTGGCCTGGGAGCAGAGCAGGGGGCCAGTAGATGGGCAAGTGATGTCCAGAGGAGAGGCAGGCCTTGCAGGGAGAGCAAAAATGAAGTGCTCGAGTGTAGGTTTAGGAAGCAAACAGACTTTGATTTTGCTCTTAGCTCTCCCCTTTGCTAGTCATGTGGCCAAGGACAAGTCACTTTCTTTCTGAGTCTAGTTTCCTCATCTCTGAAATGAAATAATAATAATACCTCCCTTGGAGCTAAGACATAGGGATACAAACCCACAAAGGTTGAAGGAAAGAATGGATTCGTGTAATAAAAGCTCATTAGGAGGCATACCTCTCATTGTCACTCCTGCCAGTCCTGGCCTAGTACCTTGAGGATGGCTGGGAACTGTGGTCCTCTTCTCCTCCCAGAGGCAAGCTGGGAGATACATCTGGGGACATCTGTCCCACCAGAGGGGACAGTGCCTGGGAGGCCCTGCAGATGTTGCCAGCTGGGGAAGGGGCTGTTGGTGTCTGTTAGGGCCAGGGATTGGCAGGTGGGCTTGGGCTGCGGCTGGTGTGGGGAGGTCCAGAGCAAGGCCTCTGGGGCCAGGGATCAGCCCAGGGAGCCTCCTCTGGGCTTCTCTCCCAGCTGCCCTGTGAGAGGAAGTAAATGAGAGGAAGTATCTACAGTAGAGAACGGGGCAGGGACCGAGGGATGTGGTCTGGTGCCTGTCCTCACCCTTCTGCCACCAGAGGCCTCAGAGGCCCTGCACACACTCCTCAGCAAAGGCAGTTCTGAGAGTTTCCTTCCTGTACTCCGCTTGCCACAGAGAGTCCTCCTCTGCTTCTGAGGAACTCGAGGGCAGTGGACCCCAGCTGGTGCTGGACCAGAGAGCTGTTCCCGGGGCTGTGCCAGCCTCCAGAGCCCTGCCTGAAGAAGCTGGGGTGCAGTGAGCAGCCTCTAAGAGGCATCTTTCCCAACCCCGACAGGCCATCATCAGACTGTAGTTGAAGGCCCTGTGAGGACTAGAAGGGGAAGTCCAGATGTCGTGAGGGCGTGTGTTTCCACATAGGGGATGTCTGTGGAAATGGCTTCCGGTCATCGTCCTGTGTGTATTAGTGGTCATGTCAGTTCCTGTGGGTGTACCGGCGTGAGTGATGCAGTGAAGCCATGTGGAAAAGGGCCAGGCCTGGTCAACTCCTGCCCCCTGGCTACCTGCTCCTCAGACCTCTGTGAGGTCCTTGCCAGGCCCATCCAGGGCCCTGGACTGGCAGGCCTCTTAGGGTGGAGCTGCGTGCGGTGGTGCTGCTCTGTGGGCTGCCATTTGGGTGGGCCCAGCCTTGGGAAGGTCACTGTGGGGGAAGGAGGGCCTACGCTCTGGGCTGGGACAGTTGGGAATGTGGCCTTGCTGACTTCTGCCCCACATCCTCTCACAGGGATATTCGCAGGTGCCGGGATGCCCTCTTTGTCATCACCTCATTTCCCGTGACTGTTCTGTGTCCCAGTCTCCCCTGCTTAGGATCAGGGGAGATGAGGAGGAGGTATCCCTGGGCAATCCTTGGAGCCATGGGCTTGGGAGTGTCCCCTCTTCAGCAGGGGAGCCTGACCCATCTTCTGTCCCTCCTCCCTGCAGAGGGGGAAGTGAGAAGGAGGGGGTTAGGGACCCTGCCTTCTGGGCTCGGAAGGCTGAAAAAGCAGAAGTAAGAGATGTAAGGGGCCCTTTGGCCACCGGCTTGAGCCCCACCATGCAGACCCCGGCAGATTTCCCCAGGGTTGAGAGAGACTTACTCCCCTGTCCCAGAAAGGTGAGCAGGGGGTTGGCCAGCCTCCAGCAGTGTCTGTCACCACGACTTTGGGCGAGAAATTGGTTTGGGGGTGGCTCTCCCCCCTGGGGTTTCCGGGTGACTGCCTCTGTCCCCAGGGAGTACGCTCAGTCAGAGGCAAACAGGTGGAGGCTCAGACCTCAGGGCTGGGTGGGCAGGGGTTGCTGAGTGGCTTTGGCCCACCCCAGCCCCTGTCTGTGCCAGGCTTTTTGCTGGTCTCACTCTGGGTTACCCTCAGGGCACTGATTAGCCTGCAGCTTTTTGTGGCTGCAGCTTCTATGGCTGTTCAGGGTCCCCTAAAGATGAATCTACATCTCTGAGGGTCAAGACCTAGAATGGGAAGTCCCCGGACTGAGCCTAGGGGAGGGGGTGGGCTTAGATGGGCAGGACGTAGCTCTGACTGACTTACCTGCCCACCCTTTCCTGGCATTTAAGTCTACTGATGGCAGGCCAGGCAGTAACCAGGGGAAGCACTTGGGCTCAAGCTGGCTCCACCACTAGTTCAGTTTGAGCCTGAATGAGTCACTCTCCTCTGGTCCTCAGTTTCCTGCACCTGAAATGGAAATAATAGCTTTTAGGATTTTGGATCAGAGTCAAAGCCATTGTATTACACTTAGGAGATGTCCCTCTTGGCCCACTATGTTAGTCCTAGGCACCCCCCCTGGCCTGGGAAGAAAATCCCAGAGAAACGGAGACAGTTCTGCCACAAATACTGGTCTGCCCTCCCACGTGTGGGTGTTTGCAGGTGATGGGCCCCTTACCTCTTTCTCCACCCTGAGGCAGACGGAAAAGAACCCAGAGATCTGCCCTTGAGTCCAGGGTCTGACTTTCTGGGTATCTGTGCATCTTTCCCGCCTGCATGTCTCTCCTGGGTATCTGTCTGTCTGCTTGGGCCTCACTGACTCTGGCTGTCTCTCGCTGCTGTGCATTTGCCTCTGTTGTTGGATTCCTATCTCTGTCTCCACTTGATGAGCACCTGTCTTCACCTGCTGGGCACATGTCACGTGTTGGGTGCCTATTAAGTCTTGTCCCCTTCTGTCTCTGCCTGTTGAGAATGTGTCCCCATCTGTCTCCACCTGTTGGATGCAAGCCCCCACCTGCCTCTGCCTGTTTGGATCCCATCTGTCTGCCTTTTGTGTTGGGCTCATGTCCCCTTCTGTCTCTGCCTGTTGGGTACATGTCCCCATCTATTTTTGCCTGTTGGATATGTCTCCCCATCTGCCTCTGCCTGTCAGGTATGAGTTTCTGTCCACCTCTGCCTATTAGGTATGAGTCTCCTCCTGCCTCCGCCTGTTGGGTACATGTCCCCATCTGTTTCCGCCTGGTGGTATGTGTTCTTCCTACCTCTGCCTATTGCATACAGGTCTCTACCCCTTCCTGCATGCTGAGCATATGTGCCCTCCTGCCTTTGCCTGTTTGGTGTTCCACTTTATCTGCCTCTACATGTTAGGTGCCTGTCTGCCTGTTGGGTGCCTATCTTCTCACCAGCTGGATTGGCATGGGGCTTTCCCTCTGTAGGCCCACAGGGAGGATGGGGGGAAGGGCCAGAGGGCAGCCCTCAGGCAGTAGGGTTGGGGGAAGAGAGAGGAAGGGAACATGGTGAGAGTGCAGGCCTGGAGCTGGGAAACCACAGGCCCTGAGCGATTGGCGGCCCTGAGCCCGGGGCCAGCCTCCGCCCTCACCCGGCACATCCGCCTTGGGCCGGGCCCCCTCTGGGCAGCCCCAGCGCTGCCGACTCCTGCCATGGTGCCTTGGCCCCACGGGGCGGATGGAGCAGGATCCCAAGCCGCCCCGTCTGCGGCTCTGGGCCCTGCTCCCCTGGCTGCCCAGGAAGCAGAGACCCAGGATTGGCCAGACATCTCTGCCTGCCCCTGGCCCTGGCTCTGGCCCCAGGCGGGACTCGGTGAGTGTGCCCGGATGTTTGATCCTAGGCTGGCTGTGGCCCTTGGAGCAGGTACCTGGGTAGCCAGTTTGGCCTCAGCTGGCTTTAGGTTCTCCCAGCCCTGCTGGGTGACTGGACCCTACCCAGAGTTGCTTCCTAGGGAAGTCAGGAGGTACTTCAGCGCTCCAGGGCAATACTGGTAGATTGGAGGGAGGGCAGAGAGGTCCTAGAACAACTAGGACCCTGCAAGGGTTTCTGGTAGACTTGCATGAAGGAAGTTTTGGCGGGTGGGGCATGGAGTGTCTGGCTTTATCTTCTACCCTCCTAAGACTGGCACTGACTGAGTTGGTGGGAGTGTCAGGTGACTCTTGGGTCCCTGTGCATCTCAGTCTTTCCTTCTGAACAAAGGGATCCTATCATCCATCCTGACCAGGAACAAAAGCCCAGCTCTGCCTCCCCATGTTCAGTATGTGAACAAACCTTACTTCCTATGGTGGCAAAACCAAAACCTCTGCAGGGGGAGGGGAGCCCGACAGGGAGGATCTGGGGCAGGTCTGTAGGCCTCAGCCAGAGCCTGGGGTTGACTCGGGCTTTGGGCCTGACCAGGCTGGAGCAGGAGGAGCAAGAGGAGCAGTGCCTCACTGGACCTGACACCTTGATAGTTTGACCCTCCCTGGCCTCTAAGGCCCTTTTGGTATTGATGAACCTGGAGGCTGGCCCTGTAGGGTAGTTGTCAAGTTGCGCCTGCAGGGCCCTGACTGCTGAGGTCTGGTGGGAGTGGACTTGGGTGGGGGGACATGCCTCATTCTGGCCCAGATGGGGCCCACCATGCCCACCAGCTCTATCCCTCCGTCAGGATGAGGGCGTCCTCAAGGAGATCTCAATCACGCACCATGTCAAGGCTGGCTCGGAGAAGGCTGACCCATCCCATTTTGAGCTGCTCAAGGTTCTGGGCCAAGGATCCTTTGGTAAAGTGAGTCCTGAGCCCTCAGCCGGTAGTACAGCACTGGTCATGTCAGGGGTGGGGGTAAGGGGTCACCCTGGGGCTCAAAGGATCAGAGGGCAAAGGTTGATGGGTCTGAGGGAAGGATGAGGGGTTGCCTTTGGTACCCAGGAAGGGCAAAATGTTGACTTGGGGCTCAGGGAAATTAGAGATCGGTGTGGCACCTGGAGGATGGGACATGGCAGGCTCAGCCCCTCCCCCGCCTCTCCTCTGCTTCCCCTTCCCCCACCCCCACTGTCTCCTCAGGTCTTTCTGGTGCGGAAGGTCACCCGGCCTGACAGTGGGCACCTGTATGCCATGAAGGTACTGAAGAAGGCAACGCTGAAAGGTGAGTGGAGGGCACCTCCCCATGCAGAGCCCAGACCAGACACAGGACTGAGGGAGACAGCCCAGCCCCCAAGAGGCTTGGGTCTGATGGAAGGGATAGCTCTGTCTTCAGGAATGCCTGGTCTGCAGGTAGAAAAACAGGCCTGTTCTCAGCCTCCCCATTACCACCCACTCCCGCCCCCACCTGATGGGAAGATAGAGTCCATTCTAAAGACAAGAATTCCGGGAATTAACTCCATCACTCCCCTCTCCCCACCAAGCCAAGTGCCAATGACCGCAGCTGAAGGTAAATGTCTAGGAGGCAGTGGGTGAGTGCAGTGTGTCTGGGGTGCGGTCCTTCAAATATCAGGCATCAGTTGGTTGGGCAGAGGCCCCCTGTTACCATAGTTGCTTCGTGATGCTAGAAGAGTCTGAGGGAAACCTGCCAGGGTGGAGGACTACAAGAGGGAAGAGGCAGGGAGCCCAGGGAGGCAGTGGGTAGGAGAGGGTGAGTGGAAGGAAGGCCATGGAGGTAGAAGGCAGAGAGGTTCAGAAAGGAGCCCCAGCCCAGAGCTGTTATTCCAGGACTTAATAAAGGGCATGAGGGTGATTGGTGGTGGGCTGGGGCAGTGACTCTGACTGGCCTGGGGGCCGGTGGGGCCACTGACTAGGTGGAGCAGGCCCTGGCTGGGGTGAGGTGGGAGAAGGAGAGGTGTTGGCTTTGGGGACTTTAGGGGTCATGTGGCCCATGAAGGACTATCTGCTGGGTGACAAGGCCAGCCTCCTAAGGTGGGGAGTCACTCCCCAGGAGGGATGGTGGGAGCCACAGAGGGGAGAGAAATATGAAAAGACTCGGCTGCTGCTCTGAAGGGTTCCTAGGCTGGTGGGGGAGACTGAGCAGCCCCTGCAGTGTGGCGCTGTCGGCGTGGTGACCAGGAGCCCAGGAGAGGGGGTTGTAGCCTCACAGGGGAAGGCTCACAAGAGGAGCAGTCATTTGAGCTGTGCCTTGAAGGATGAATTAGGAATTCTCCAGGCCAAAAGTGGTAGAGGAAGGGTACCCCAAGAAGGAGGAATTGTTTGCCTGATCAAAAGTGTAGGTGTGGTTTGAAAACATAAGGTGTATTTGGGAAACAATGACAGAAATAGCTAATCCACATGGTACCCCCAAAATTAAAATAGAGGGTAGGAGTGCTCTGAAGGGGGAAGCATGAGGATTGTAGGAAGAGGGCCCTAACTCAACCTGACAGGTTAAGGAAGACTTCCTGGAGGAGGTGAGGTTTGAGCTGAGTCAAAGAAGAACCTGCTGCTGATTTGATTGCCTGTGGAGTTTTATTCTTTAAAAAAAATAAGTATGTGGGGTACCTGCTTAGACCCATGAGTCTGAATTTTACACCCAGGGACTCTGCCTTCTAATTAGTTCCTCAGATGATTGTTCTCACCAGCCCCGAGACTGGAATTGAGGATTTTTATGCCAGATGAAGAGGGGGCTGGTGAAGGCATTCCAGGGAAGTGAGGGGAGTAAACACTGAGGGCACACAGAGGAACAGGTTGTGCAGATTGGCTGGATTAAATGGCCTTTGATGGGGCATGGTGGGAGACGGGGCTGGAGTGCTGGGCAGGGCACCAAGGGCCCAGTCCTGGTACTGCTATAAGATGTGAGGAACAAGTGAAAAGGGAGCCCTTAGCCTTCTTAGCCAGGGCTGTGTTGAGTAACTAGACTTTTGGTGATTGCCTTTCTTTGGCCAGTGCGTGACCGTGTGCGGACCAAGATGGAGAGAGATATCTTAGCTGATGTAAACCACCCGTTTGTGGTGAAGCTGCACTATGGTAAGACTACAGACCCTACCTGAGTTCCCATCCTACCTGCCAGCCTTTGCCCTTGCCTGTGGGCTGCTGACTTCTCTGTATGTTGCCTCTTCTACCTGGCAAGCCAAGGGAACTGGGGATGAAGGGGCAAGGAGCAGGGCCCAAGGCCCAGCTGGCTTCACCATTGCCTGTTCCCCTCCCCCAGCCTTCCAGACCGAGGGCAAGCTCTATCTTATTCTGGACTTCCTGCGTGGTGGGGACCTTTTCACACGGCTCTCTAAAGAGGTAAGCTTATGACCCACTACCACAGGGCCCCAGGATGGAGCTAGGAGGAAAATGAGGCCCCCCTGCCCAGGGCCCTGTGAAGAACTTGTCCATGGTGGCCTGGACCTGGGACCCCAGGCCTGCCTGGCAGCCCTGACGCAAGAACCCACCCTGAGACAGAGTACATACCCTGGCAAAGCCTTTGAGAGTTTTCCTTAGGAAGTGTTGACGAGAACAAAGCCCTGGATCTGATGCCACCCTAATTCCAGGTAGCTGAGGGTGGCTTTCACTTCTCCACCTCCTCTTTCAGGGCTGCCCTGGGTGGGGCTGCAAGAGTGGGAGAAGCCCAAATCCACCCAGAAAGTTAGATACTTTAATGTTACGTCCCACGTGTTAACCAAAAGGATTTTGAACTGACATAAGAGCATTTGAGCCAGATATAAAATTGGGACCATTAATACAATCCAAACTTTAGAAGAGAACTTACAAAAAAAATTTTAGAATGTTATTTTAATGTTTGAATAGGTAATAAATTTGCATGATTGAAAAGAAAAACATTCCTTGAGATGTCTTCCTCCCACCCAGCTCCCTCTATCCCTGCATCTGTAAACATGTTTATTGGTTTCTTGTTTAAGCTTTTCATGTTCCGCTAGAAATACAAACCATTCTGGTATATGTTCTGAATCCCGACCCCCTACTTTCTTATGTAAAAAGTACTATTCTGTATGTACTGCTCTGCACCTTGCTTTTTCTCAAGACTGTCTTGGAGCTCAGTGCATAGCAGAACATGAAGAGACTATTGTTCTAGTTTATGGCTGCATAGCACTCCATTATGCAGGAGAGGCTTCTATGGCTTCACCCTCGGGCTGTTTCCAACCTTTTGGTATTTCCAAACAGTGCCACAGTGAATGACTTGTATTATTAGCCATTTCATACCTCTTCATAAAGAGAAGAGTATGTGACACTTGGGTCTCTAAGGGTCCTCCTCAGAGCGGACCCTTAGGGGCAGGAAACTGCTCACTGCGTGGTACCCTAGCTCCCAAGGAAGAGGTCATCCCAGCTGAAGGCCCCTCCCACCTCTTGCAGGTTATGTTCACAGAGGAGGATGTGAAGTTTTACCTGGCTGAGCTGGCTTTGGGCCTGGACCACCTGCACAGCCTGGGCATCATTTACAGAGACCTCAAGCCTGAGAAGTGAGTGAAGCCCCACCCCGACCCTGGCCTCCCTGGGGACTACAGAGGCAGGCCCTGGGGCATCTTCTAGGATGGGGCCACTCCAACAGCAGTGGGTGTGACTCTCCTCAAGGATGTCTCCTGTCTCGTGGGCTGCCCCATGAATGGATGGGTGCAGCAGAGTGGTGGTGGCAGCAAGCTCACCTCCTTGGAGGGCTGCCTAATCACTGCCATTATCAAAGGCCAGACATCAAGGGCCTTTTTGCTAATCCAATGTTAAGTCTGAGATGCCACCATAAAAGGTCATTCCTTGATACATCCCTCTCTAGAATTTTCCTTGGCATCTAAATATCTTCAAATGGTAACTTGGGTGCCAGGGGTAGGTGCTGACATGGAATGTGACCTGGCTGCAGAGTTAGGCAGACCTGAATTAAATTCTTGTCTCTACCACCTACTAGCTCTGTGACCATGAGGAGTTGCTTAAGCCCCCTGAGCCTTTGTTTCCCCATTGTCAAAACGGGGCCATCAGAGTACCTACCTCACACAGCTGTTCCAAGGAATAGCAAAGAAAGCAGGCAGCAGACCTGCCTGACTCAGCCACCCCGCCATTCGTCAGATGGTGATTTGGGTGGGTTACCTTCTCCGGGCTGGGCCTATCCCCCAATCTCTCTATTCCAGCATCCTTCTGGATGAGGAGGGCCACATCAAACTCACTGGTGAGTGGAGGGCCTCTGTCCCCTCAGGTCCCAGGGGAGGGCAGGAGGGCTCTTGCTGGGCCTGGGCTCAGTGCTAGGGGATCTCTTCTTCCCAGAGGCTGTACCGGGCACTCAGAAGTGGTGAAAAGCCCAGGCCTAACTTGGAGAGGCCTGGGTTTGAAACCCACTTCCCCACTGTGTAGCCCTGGGCAAGTCGCCTGACCTCCTCTCTGGGCCTCAGCTGCCTCCTGAGTGTCACGGGAGTGATGTGCTGAGGCCTGCAGGCCAGGGGTTTGGGTGTGCAGGAGGTGGCCGTGAGGAAGGCGGGGCAGCACTGAAGACGTCCTCTTGTCCTCCTTGCCACAGACTTTGGCCTGAGTAAGGAGGCCATTGACCATGAGAAGAAGGCCTTTTCCTTCTGCGGGACGGTGGAGTACATGGCCCCTGAGGTTGTCAACCGCCAGGGCCACACCCACAGTGCAGACTGGTGGTCCTATGGGGTGTTGATGGTGAGTGCCTAGGCGGGCACAGAGCATCGAGCTGAGGCCTCAGGCCTCAGTTTCCCCGTCTGTGTCATGAGGGGTTTCATAGTATCTAAGGCTGTCCTCCTGTTCCCTCACAGCCAAGTTGGCCTCACCCTCCACCCATCTGCAGTTTCCTTCCTTGGAAGGAGTCCAGGCCTGGGCCCACCTCAGGTGCCCCCAGCTAGGGTCTGGGCTTCTCCCCAGCCTTAGGACCCCAGTAGTGCTCCAGGTCGTCTGAGTAGCAGAGTAGACAGGGACAGATGCAATTCTTGGTCCGGGTGGACCCCCAACAGCCATCAAATATCCTGGGAGGGGTGCTGAGTGGCCTGGATGGGAGGAGGTTGGCTGTGGGAAACAGGGGCCAGAGCTCAAATGTAGACCTTTGTCCTCTGCAGTTTGAGATGCTGACAGGTTCGCTGCCCTTCCAGGGAAAGGACCGGAAGGAGACCATGACACTGATTCTGAAGTAAGCACCAGCCACTCCCTGACACCTCAGGGTCTTCCCCATGCCTGGCCCTAGTCTGAGTCAAGTACAGGGAGAAGACTCAGATTCCCCCATCAATGGGACACAGTTAAGCTTTATGCTTTCCAGGGCCCTCTTTACACATACCAGGGCCTGTGGGAGGGGAATCCCTGAAGTTTTTGGGAGGTGAGTTAGTAGATGACTTGTCTGGATTGAGCTGGAAACTAGACCTGGACAGAGTGGGGAGGGGAGATGGGGCCTCTGGGGTGGGGCTGAACCTTAATGAGCCCTGGGGGCTGTTGCAGGGCAAAGCTAGGCATGCCCCAGTTTCTGAGCACGGAAGCCCAGAGCCTTCTGCGGGCCCTGTTCAAGCGGAATCCTGCCAACCGGCTTGGTAAGCAGCCCCATCTCGGGAGGGGAGCAGGGTACAGCTGCAGCCTAGACCGCAGAGCCAGATCTGGGGCTGAAAGAGACTGTTGTCCTTTGTGTGGGCAGACAATGCTGCTGGCCACCCTGCTTTCTGGCTCCATGCATGGTGTTTCAGGCCAGGGGGTGACCTGTGTGCAGGGGAAAAGCAGGAACTGAGTCATCCTCACTCCCCCTGGGGACCAGGACAGAGGGCCCCACACAGCTCCTATGCCAAGGCAGCTGGCACCAGGGAAGGAGCATGAACTCAGGAGTCAGAAGTCTCAGGTCCCAGTCCTGGCCCCACATCAGGTTCCCACTGCCTAGCACACAGTGGTGGCTCCATAAATATTTGTTAAATGAATGAGTGCCATTTATGAGCTTAGTGACCCAAGGCAGTTGACTCCACCTCCTGGAGCCCCAGGTCCTCATCTCCATGGGAGATGATGATCTCAAGATCTGTTGATTAAATGAATTGTGTGAACATGCCTGGTGTGTGGTAGCTGCTCAATATGTCTTGGCTCCTTGGCTCTGGGTTCACCTGGACCATGACTGGCTTTGTAAAGTCCAGTCCAGGTCCCTGGGGCTGAAGGGAGTGAGAGTCTGTCTGGCGGCTTATAAGGGCAATGGGATAAGAACACAGATTAGGCCTGAGTTGGGAGGGAAGTGGGGACCCTCTGCAGATCTGGGAACAAGTCTGGCCTCTGTCCTGACAGTGTGGCCTTGGACAAGTTGCCTAGCCTCTCTGGGTTCTCCCATCAGTACACTGGAGATTGATCACAGGGGCTCCAGAAAGTAGGAAATGCTGAGTGGACAGTAGGCCTTGGGGTGATGGCTGGGAGGATTTGAGGCAGGGTAAGCCCATCCTCCCCCATGCTCCTGGTGGACTCCTCCAGCTGCTGGTTCCAGACCACAGTGAGGCCACTCAGAGAACATGGTGGGTGTCTGGGGGTTGGACCAGCCAGGAGCAGACCCTTCATCTGGGCTCTTTCAGGGTCTGGTCCTGATGGGGCAGAGGAAATCAAGCGGCATGTCTTCTACTCCACCATTGACTGGAATGTGAGTGTGTCTATCCACCCCTTTCAGGGCTTCAACTGTGGAGGGAGGGAGCTTCTACCAACTAGGGCCTCGAATGTAGGCCTCCAAGTAGAGGGTGACAGCATGGCCTTGAACGCAAAGGCTGGCTCCCAAGGGCAAACAATTATGCCATCTGTGTAACCTGTGCTCAGGCCGTTTACCTCCTCCTGCATGAGCTCCTGGTGAGCTGTGGGGGTGCCATGGTGACCCGAATGCCCACGTCACTTTGTAGAAGCTGTACCGTCGTGAGATCAAGCCACCCTTCAAGCCAGCTGTGGCCCAACCCGATGATACCTTCTACTTTGACACTGAGTTCACATCCCGCACACCCAAGGGTGTGTGCCTTGTCTGGTTTGTCTTGGCCTGGCATAGGAGGGAAGAGGGAGTCGGGGGCATCTTGGGAAGTAGCAGTGATTAGGGACTGTGGCCAGGCCAGAGTGTGGGCAGACAGACAGGTGTGTGGATCTCTGACTGTTTGTCCCCATCTCATTCTGCCTGGCTCTCCCACTCTGGGGCTCTATTGGACTCTGTTTGGGTGACAGGGTGGGGATGAGGGGGTGGTTAAGGTCACAATAAAAAGGCAGGTCCCCTGCCCCAGGCATCTTCCATTCCACTGAAAGACCAAGCACATCTGTTTCAAACTCACATCAGGACTAAAAAATCTGACCTAGCAAAAATTCAAGGTAGGGACAGAGCAGAGGTGACAGCACCCACAGGTCAACTTTGGTAATCGGCTTTGGCTATTCTGATTGCTGGGCCTTGGTGTACTCATCTGGAACATGGGCTTAGCCACAGACCTGCTTAGTCCTTGGGGTTACTGCAGGAAGCCAGGGAGGGGGCTTCTTGGAGGGAGCTTGGTAAATCCTAACACTTTGGCCAGGTTTTGAAGAGGAGTGTTAGTTCTGAAAGGTGTCCTGGAGGGGCAGGTTTTAGCAGAGGGGGTGCTTTTCTTATTGTGGTTTGCACATCTCTGATGACAGGGAGCTTACTACTTCTCCAAGCAGTAGGTACCATCTTTATTCATTATCTGGCAGGTATGTACCAGGTCCCTACTGTGTGCCAGCCATGGGGGGATTGTCATGAATAAAACAGACCCAGGCCCTGCCTTTGTATGGCTCAGGAACATGTAGAGACTTTAAAATAGCTACCGAGCAGGGTGATGAGTACAGCTTAATAGGGGCGAAGCGCAGGAGGAGCAATCTCAGGCCAGGCTTCTCAGAGGAGAGAGAGAGTAGGCTGGGCTCAGTAGAGGGAAAGGCAAGGATTATCTAGTTGGAGTGAACAGCATGTGCAGTGGCTCAGGATCTCCTTTAAGGATCTGCAGAGTCCAGCATGGCTGGACTGTGGAGTTGGAGGAGAGGAGGCTAAGATCATAGGGACCTTGATTGTCAGGCTGAGGAATTGACCTTTCTCCTGAAGGCAGAGGGGGACATTTGAAGAGAATAGGCCAGGGGGTAGATTTGTAGGCTTGAAGGGGCAGCCATGAGGCAGGGGGCCAGGGAAGAAGCTTCCAGGGAGGGATGAAATGTCTCAGTCTGGACTGCATGCTGGATGTTGGGGTCTTTTATGTCCCTTGCATGTCAGGGCTGGGCAGGTCTAAACACACATGGACAGATGGACTACCAAGGCCTGGGGTGAGGGGCCCTTCCCAGCTCCCACCACAGCCAGCAGGCCTGGAAGCCCCATGGTCTCCGTTTGCTGGGCCGCCTTGGGGTCAAGGAGCCTCATCAGGCTTACATGCCCCTCCCACCCCTACAGACTCCCCAGGCATCCCCCCAAGTGCTGGCGCCCACCAGCTATTCCGTGGCTTCAGCTTTGTAGCCACCGGCCTGATGGAAGAAGACGGCAAGCCTCGGGCCACACAGGCACCGCTGCACTCGGTGGTACAGGTGAGGAGGCAGGAGGCTGCTGCTCGGGTGTCCCTTCCCACCTAGAAGCCACAGCGCCAAATGCCTGAAAACACAGGCTCTGGGTCGTGCCAGGGTGGTGGTGCTGGGGTGGCTGTCAGGTCCCTGACGGGTGGGTGGCAGGAGGCTCGTGTCTCCTCACCCTTATCCCCCATTTGTACACCTGCCCAGCTCCATGGGAAATTGAGAATTGAGAGGCAAGAATGTAGACTCAAGCTTATTGCCTGGGTTTGGAGATCCCAGAGTAAGGGACTTTGGATGAGATGCTTACCTTCCTTGTGCCTCGGTTTCCTCCTTTGCGAATGGGGGTGAGGCTTGAACCTTCTTTATGGGCCTGTCGTGAGGTAATACATGTAAAGTTAAGGTGACCATGGAACTTACTATCCAACTGGGACATCTTTGTGCAGGGCAGATGTTAAAACCAGACTGGGTACAAGGACAACAGGTATAAACCGTGGCAGTCCACTGTCCACAGGACATGTGGTCACCTGATGAGACGTGCTGAGAATAGCGCCTGCCACACACTAAGCACCACAGAAGCATTTGCTCTAGTTAATGTCATGGAGCCTAGAGAGACCTCATGAGGTGGGCTGTGACACCCCAGAAGGAGGCTGTGGCTTGCCCAAGGCCACAGTAAGTGACAGAGCTGGGACCCAGCTGAGGGCTCCTGCATCCCTCTCAGGTCTGCCTGGGCTTCACAGAGCCGCAGACCTCTCACTGTGTGTTCTGTGGCTCGTTTTATTGTCTGTACTCTCCACCACCCTCTGATCAGAGCCTGAGAACCAGCAGGTGTGCCCATGATAGAGGGTAGAAAACTGAGGCCCAGAGAGGGACAGATTCTTGTCCAAGGCCCACACAGCCAACATTCTACCCTGGGCCTCCTAGCTCTTGCCTGGTGCCGTCTCCACTGAACTAAGGCCTTCTGTGCTGCGGGACGACCCCTCCATTGTAGAGCAGAGGGTGAGCTCCACCTCTTGGTTTCCTTCAGCAACTCCATGGGAAGAACCTGGTTTTTAGCGATGGCTATGTGGTAAAGGAGACGATTGGTGTAGGCTCCTACTCCGTGTGCAAGCGCTGTGTCCACAAGGCCACCAACATGGAGTATGCCGTCAAGGTGGGCCTTCTTATGTGTCTTGGACTAGCCTGCTGGGCTGGGGGTAGGCCAGGGTGGCCTTGGCCCTTGGGCGGAGGAGGGTTTGTGCCTGAGACTCTGTGGATGGGTGGAAGGTGTGTGACTGAGAACCCCGGGCCCTGCAGCTTGGGCTCACGGCAGGGGGGGCCTCTGGGGACCACCCCCTGTCACTGTCATGCACACCCCCTCCTCAGGTCATCGATAAGAGCAAGAGGGATCCCTCAGAAGAGATTGAGATTCTTCTGCGCTATGGGCAGCACCCCAACATCATCACTTTGAAAGATGTGAGTGGGGGATCCTTGAGGCGAGGCTAGAGATGGGGCACTCAACTCTGGGATTTGTTTCAGGGCTGCCATTCCTTGGCATTTGCTCCTCTTCTGCTCATGGGATGGGGGGACCCATGGTGCCTCCAGTCTGGCCGTGCTGCAAGAGCCCTCCTCGGGCTTGGGCATTCTCTGAGAGCTCTCCCACCTGTCAGGACCAGTGCCAGCAGCCTCCTGCCTGGAGGACAGGCACCCAGATAGGTGAAGGCCCTGCTAGGGCCACTGCAGCACAGAGCAGAACACATGCCCAAGGCTCATGTCATTCTTTCCTGGCCTGGTGAGCTGAGGACCAAGGGGCCAGGCCTGGCGTTGAGGGGAGGGGCCTGATGGTGAAGTCTCCGGCAGGTGTATGATGATGGCAAACACGTGTACCTGGTGACAGAGCTGATGCATGGTGGGGAGCTGCTGGACAAGATCCTACGGCAAAAATTCTTCTCGGAACGGGAGGCCAGCTTTGTCCTGCACACCATCAGCAAAACTGTGGAATATCTGCACTCCCAGGGGGTGAGTCTGGGGAAGGGGAACCAAGTCGGGGTGGTGGGCTGCCAAGAGTCATGCCGTCAGCAGAGTGCGTGAACCGTGGGCTGGCCCAGGCAGTGGCAATCTTCAACAGCCAGACAGAGGGGAGACTAGTGGATGGTTGTAAGAAGGGAGGGAGGCTGAGGCCAAATTGTGAAGAGGAACATTTATTCATTTTCTACTATGTGTCAAGCACCATGCAAAGTTCCTTCCTTACGTTATCTCAGTTGATTTTCACAACACCCCTCTGAGGTAGGTGCTGTTAACTGCCCCACTTTACAGGTGGGAGACTGAGGCTCAGAGATGAGAGGTCATCTAGGGGAGAAGGGGCCAGCATGTCAACCGAGGGATTTGGGTGGGGTACTGCAGTTGGGGAGTGGGTTTTTGAGTTAGGAAGCAACAGAGTTATTGTGGGGATTTGCAAGGTTTCAGGGAAGTGAATCTGGCCATGGGTTCATCTGCTGGGACAGAGGAAGTGGACGCAGGGGGAAATGCTGCTGGAAATGCAGCAGGCGCTACAGAAGAGGCACACGTCCAAAGAGGACTTGACCTTCATTATTGCACAAGGCAGAGGTAGAAAAGCTCCTTGCAGTGTATCAAAGCCGAAAATCAAATTAGCATGAGTTTCTCTCTGGATGAGGGAGTTTTTTAGGGTGTGTCCAGTCAGACGGTGTGGGGGTTAAGAATGCAGGCTCTGGAATCTGACTGGCTGTGTCTAAGTCCTATGTGTGAGGTTCAAGCCTGTCACCTCTCTGAGCTCTTCCTCGTAGTAACAGAAGCTGGCACCTCACAGGTGGACATGGGATGGAGGTAGCATGCCGGGAAAGCGCTGCAGTCCAGGCAGGCCCATGGAAAATGCCATGTAAGCAGGAGAAATCAGACCAGATCACGTCTATGCCTTTTTTTAAGTTAACTTTCATTAGGATAATTTTCAAACATACACAAAACTACAACAGTGGTATAATGAACCCCCAGATATCCATCATCCAGATGGAAGAATTGTCAAGATTTTTACACCCCTTCCTTTCTTTCCCTCTCCTTCTCCCTCCCTCTCACCCGCTTTCTTTCTTCCTGTTCTCCCTCCCTCCCTGCTTCCTTCCTTCCTTCCTTGCTTGCTTTTCTGTTGTTGCTGAAGGATTTTTCCCAACTTTTGATTCAGGAAAAAGTTTAGACCTGTAGAGAAGTTAAGAGTAGTACAAGGAAAACCATTTCCTTCTAGATGCACCGTATCTGGCAGTCTGCCACATTTGCTTTATCACTCTCTTGCTCTGCCTCTTTTTGTCTCTATTTCTCTCTCTATGTGAATATATGTATTTTAATTTGAAAGGAAACTGCAGACATGACATTTCACTGACCCATAAATACTGATAAAGTATATCAAAGCATATGTCAGGCCTCACATCTTCTTAGTTGTATAACTCTTAAAAAGGCAAACATTTTCTCTCATAACAACTAAGAAAATTAACAGTGATTTGTTTTCACGTAGTACCCAGTCAACAGACACATTTCCTCTATTGCCCTTTCAAAAATATCTTTTTGCAGTTGGTTTGCTGGAATCACAGTCTCTGCAAAGTCCACACCTTTCATTCACGTGTTATATCCCTTTAGTCTCCTTTCTAAACCTGAGATGAAATTTTCATACAGAAGATCTTAAGTGGATAATTCAATGAGCTTTATTAAATGTGTATATTCACGTAACCTTCATGGTAAAGCCTTTCTTTTTTATGCCACTGACTTGTTGGAGAGATCAGTTCTGTGGAATGTCCTACATTCTGAATGTGTCTGTTTGCTTCCTGTGGCATCATTTTAATTGTCTCTCTATTACCTATCTTTCTGTAAATTGCAAGGTGCTCTAAAGTCTTAATTAGATTCAGCTGCAACTTCTTTTTGGCGCCAAGGTGTTAAAGAACACATCATGGGAGCTGCAGTGCCTTTCATAGGCACCCCGACCACGAGCAGTGTTAGTTACATCAGCCCACCCCCATCCATCAGTCACTCTTCGCCAGGTGGTAATGGTCTAAGGGTGGGTGAATGGTGGCAGGTGGTAGGTGGTCCTGATGGCGTATCACAAAGATCCTTTTCAAACTTTCATGGAATGGTATCATCCTTTCAGGATTTTTGCCCAAATCAGTTATGTCTCTTGGATTTGCAAAACTGGCAATGTCTGATTCTTACTTATTAGGGGGGATTCTTCTGCAAAAAAAGAACTTTACCTCATAACCAGAGCTTCAGTTTGGTTACCACATGTACTGTTAATGGTCATGTTTGAAGTGGTTTTGGTTTTTGAAATGGCCAGTGTAAACAGGCGAATATTTAAATGTGTCAGGTCAAACAGTTAATGTTTCCTTTTTCTGTTTTGTTCCTGAGTACCAGTTAAAGCTCCTCCAAGAAGGTTTAGAAGACAGAGTCAAAGCAGTGAGTTTCAAGTGGGTTTCCTAAAGCTCAAGCAAGAAAGGACTTTCTAGAGTGGAAGCTGCCTCTAAGAGTAGTGAGCCCCCTTCACCAGGGATATATAAGCTCCAAGCAAAGATAACAGTTTGGTGGGGAGGCCACAGGGGCTGCAGTTGTTGGGGGAGAAAATTCTTTCCTTCCCAAAGCCAGGAGCTGTGGGTCTCCAAAGTTTCTGGTCTTTTTCAAATACCAGTGGCAGATGATAAGGAAATGGGAAACTCTTGTTGAGGTGTCTGGAGGCAGATTCTCTGGGCTAACTATGCATTGGCAGTGTCGCTGGTCTAGAAGCTGCAGTCTCATAAGAGCCGAGGAATGGGAACACGGTGACCAGGAGCAGGGTCCGCTGGGACCTCCTATTTGTTTTAAAGTAATCATTTTATTAAAGTATTTCATAAACACAAATCATATACAAGTCAAAAAATGCTCAAAAAGTGAATACACTCCCTTGACCAGCACCCAGATCAGAAAATGAAGCATTTCCACTTCTCCAAATCCTCTTGTGCCCCTTCTGGTCTCTAACCCCTCCCCAGGGATAACTATTCTAAGCTAACTTCTAATAGATTAGTTTTGCCCACCTCTGAATTTTGTATGAACATACTCTTTTATGTCTGGCTTCTGCCGCTCAACATTCTCTAAGATTCATCCGCGTTGTTGGGGGGCTGCAGCCTGCTCATGCTCGTTGCCGGGTGACCTCTGCTGTATGAACAGCCCACCATTGAATTGTCCGCTAAATGGTTAATGGGCATTGGGTCATTCCCAGTTTTTGACCATAGCAAATAATGCTGCAGGGACATTCTGGTTCTTGTCTTTTGATGAACATATGTACATCTGAACCTTGGGTTTATACCCCTTCCGGTGGAATTGCTGGGTCAGAGTGTTTTGCATGTTTCATCCTTAGTAGATCTTACCAGCTTCCTAAACTTGTGTAACCAATTTACACTCCCAGCGAAAGTGTGTGAGTCCTGGCACTCACCAACACTTGGTGTCTTGCATCTTTTCCATCCAAAGCCATTCTGGTAGGCGGGGAGTGTGTCTTGTCGTGGTTTGGATTTGTGTTTCCCTGATGAGGTTGAACATCCCCCCATGTGTCTCTTGCCGTTTGGACAGCCTCTTTTATGAAATGCCTGTTCTAGTCTTTTGTCCATTTTTAAGAGTTGGATTGTCTGCCTTTTTCCTCTTATTTTGCAAGAGTTCTCTGTTTAATATGTGGAAGCTTTGAAGTCCCAGCTCCCTCCTGTTGTTTTGTAAGGCCGCCAGCATGCTGGCAAGCCTGTCTGAGAACTCAATGCAGACTCACGCTTGGCTTTTCTGTTTAACCAGATGATTTACATAGAGCTTCACTTCTTTCTTTCTTTTTTTTTTTTTGCTAGTCATAGGCGCCGAAATGCACACCCTCCGATGATGCTCGTGATGACACAGGTGCTGCTCTGCCGCTGGCAGGAGGCACCCTGTGCCACTTTGCACAGGCTAGACAGAGTTCTAGGCACTTTATATATCAACTCATTCAGTTGTTCCAACAAACCTATGAAAAAGGGATTATCATTAAGCCCATTTTATAAGCAAGGGAACTGAGGCTCTGGGAGCTTAAGTGAAAACCTCATAGCTAATCTGGCTCCAGTTGGTGCTCCTAACATGTGTGACATCATATGTGCTTTGGACAACATCTGTGCTTCTTGTCCTTCTTGTCCGCTAAGCTTTAAGTGCTTTTTAACAAGCATGTTCTGTATCTTAACATCCGGCATGATGGTGGGGTTCAGCCCCAGATGTGCTGGGGTTACTGTGAGAGCAGTTGCCATTTCCCAAGCTTTGTGCTAAGTAGTCCTGTTATATAACTCACACCCTTCTTCCTACATCCCTGGGGGCTGAGCACTATTATCAGATGAGATAATCACCCACTTTACAGGTGAGAAAACTGAGGACTAGAGACATTATGTGAATATCCAAGATCACACAGCTACTGCTGGTAAAGCCAGGATTCATACCTTGGCCTGACTGAAATCACAACTCTGCCAGAAGCCACGGCCTGTTGACTCAGCTGCATTTGACCTAAACACGTATTTTGTTTGACCTGCAAAATACGGGTTTTTAAAATTTTGTTTTGGGTTTGGTTTGTTTGGGTAATTTGGCTGCTTTTGAAACTTGGGCCTGAGGTGCTGCGTGGTGACTATCAGCTAGAGTAAGTAGCATCTGTCCCTTTAGACTGGTTGGCAGGGCTCCCACTCAGCCTGCCTTCCCTCATCACTTACCCAGCCTGTTGTACTTTTCAGTGCAGTGAGATGTGAGAATAGCTCCCCTCTCCCAACATATACAGCTTGGGGACCGATATCAGAATCACCTGTGGGGCCACCTGCCGTGGTGACCACAGTTACCTGTAGGAGTTTGATTTCTCCAAGTTGTGTTAGGGCAGGATAAAGATTGAAACTTCCATATCCCTATTTTCCAAAAGTGTCTTCTGGGCCACATGAAATTGGAAAGACTGTGGAGTTAAGGATAGAACTGGGTTCTGGTGTCACCTGTGCTTCTTACTCACCTGAGCAAGTCCTTTCTCTCAGAGCCAGGATTTCCCTCTCTGTGAAACTGAGCTGGCACTCCCTGCCCTGCCCTCCCACTGGTGTAATGGGCAGCTCCCATGAGACCATGGCCAGGAAAGTACTATGTGAACCAGGAGGTTCACTGGTGTAGGCTAGCTGGTGTCCTTAACCCTGCTAAGCATCGCTGATCTCTGGGAAGCTTGGTGGGCCCTCTGCAGGGAAAAGAGAAGAGTCTCCATTCTTCAGGGCCTGGGCTGGTCCTCTGGGCTGTATGATTGTACGAGGAAGGAGGGAGCCAAAGGACTGGGCAGGCACTGCTCAGGAAGAGGCTTCCCCAGAGCCAGATAAAATTCTCAGCATGTTGCAGGGACTACCCTTCTCTCCTCATCCACCTGGCACTCTTCCCTCTGTGGAGGTGGACCAACCTAGGCCATGTCTACCCTCCAACCTGCCCTCCCCATGGGCACCTGCTGGAGGGCTTGAAGCTTAACTGGGACTATGAAAGAACCATGTCATAAAGCCAACTGATCTGTGAGACTCCATTGATCTAACCTGCAGGGTCGCTACATGTTTTAGAGGTGTGATTTGTTCATTCATTTACAATGAACACAAAGTTCACTTAGCACGTACTCTGCTAGGCTCTGTGCTGGGTGCTGGAGGTGAGCAGGTGTTCTGCAGACAAATACGGTTATTTATGTAACTCCCTTTGGCTTGAAGGAGCCCCCATTGGCCTGCACTCTGGGCACTTGAGGCAATGCAGTGGACAGCGAGGCTGGAATAGATAGCTTAGCCTCCCACACCAGGATGGGGACTTCGGGCTTTATCTTACAGATAGTAGGGAACCATTGAAGGGTTCGACAATACCCAGGAAGGTACTATGAGCTCATGGGAGGAGCTTGAGGGTGAGAACAAGTGTAGTCTGGAATGTACTGGGTTTGAGAGTCCGTGGATCATTTAGATCATTCAGGCTGTCATCTGGTAAGCAGCTAATGAGCCTGGACTCTGGAAGGTTCTGGGCTAGGGTTAGAGATCTGAGTGGCACTGATAAGTAGGTGCTAGCAGAGTGAGTGTGAGTAGAGAGCCATACAGAGGGAGGGGAAGGATGACGAGTGGAGGGCGTCAGCCTCCTCAGATTCTAGACGAGCAGACGGGGGCCAGAGGAAATCCATTGCATAGGGCCTCAGTAGTATCATTCAGCCATTCATTCGGCATATCTTATTTGAGAACCTACAGTGTGCTAGGAACTACTATATGCTGGGATGCAGCAGTGAGTAAAACACTCATGGAGCTTGCATTCCAGTGGGTAGATTCAGAAGGCAATTAAGTAAATATGTCAAATTATGATAAATGCTATGGATAAAAATAAAGCAGGGTAAGGAGACAAGTACAAGCAGGGTAAGAAGCACTGCTCGGTGATCACTATTAGTATGGGATGGCCCAGGGAAGGTCTCACTAATAAGGTGACATTTAGTTGAGACCTGAAAGAAATAAGAGAATGAGCCAGGCAGATGCCTGGGGGAGGAGTGTTCCAGAAAGAGGGAACAGCAAGTGCAAAGGCCCTGAGGCAGGCATGTGCTTGGCATGTTGAAGAAAGAGCGAAGAGACTGGTGTGGCTGAATCTACTTGAGCAAGGAGGAGATTGCGGAGGACCTGAGTGCAGGGTCCATGGGTGGGGGCAGGAGATCTGGTGGGGTTACTAGATCAGTAACGACTTTTCCTCTTAAGAAAGGAAGAATTTGGGGGTTTCAATCTGGGATGACAGGATCTGACTGACGTTTAACAGGATGGCTCTGGCTGCCCTGTTTAGAACAGACTGTAGGAGGCAAGGACAGAGCAGGAAGACAGGTTAGGGGGTTGCTGTAATCCGGCGGGTGGGGGGATGAAAGATGAACGTGGCTGGGATCAGAGCATTGCCAGTAGAGGGATGAGAAGTGGTTGGATATATTTTATTTGTATTTTAATAGTACAGCCAGCAAAGTCTGATGGATTGATTGAGGAATATGAGGAAAAAAAGAGGAATTGAGAGTGAGTCTTAAGGTTTTGATGCAAGCAATGAGAAGGATGGAGGATGGAGTTGCCATTAAGTAAGAGTGTGTACAAGCAGATTTGAGGGGAGAAGTGATGTTAGAGCTGCCTCGTAGATACTGACACAGAGATCGCAAGTTGTAGTGCTAAGTACGAGCAGCACCAAAGGTCCCGTTGCATCCCCTTCCTTCCATTCAGATTCTGGGTCTCTCCCTCTCTTGGGGGGCCTGCCTTCCTAACTCTCCCATTGCTGGCAGTTGACCTGGGCCACTAGCAGCCCACCTGTATTGATAACTGACCCCAACCCTCTGCCCCCAGGTTGTGCATAGGGACCTCAAGCCCAGCAACATCCTGTATGTGGACGAGTCTGGGAACCCTGAGTGTCTGCGCATCTGTGACTTTGGCTTCGCCAAGCAGCTGCGAGCTGAGAATGGGCTCCTCATGACACCTTGCTACACTGCCAACTTTGTGGCACCTGAGGTGAGAGGCCAGCCTGCTCAGCTGCTAGAGTGAGGGGCCTGGCATAGGAGGCTTTATGCCCCTTCCAGAGTCCCCATGCTGTCCAGGACCCTAGTCTGTGTGGCCTTGGCCCAGCTACCAGGGAGGATCCAGCCCGTGGCTGGGACCCTTGTCCCATGTTTTGAGGACTGGCAGACAAGCATATGGGTCTACTTGCTGCCAATCCTCACACTGACCACCCCCCACCTTCCTGCCAGGTGCTGAAGCGCCAGGGCTACGATGAAGGGTGCGACATCTGGAGCCTGGGTGTCCTACTGTACACCATGCTGGCAGGGTGAGTGTCCTGCTGGCCTGGGCCACCTCCCAGCCCTTCCCCCTCCCTCCAGCCCTGCTGTACAGGATGGGGGGTGCTTGTCTGCTGGGAGACTCAGCTGTGCCCTAGGAAGGTCTGAGGATGGGGTGTGGCCCTGCCTCTGGGAGCTCTACTTTGAGGAGGGAGGTGCCGCCCTTGGTAGCACCCAGTCTAAAGGGGAGATACAGCCCCCCAACCCACTGCTAGCCCCAGAATGGAGGTCAGAGGCTGTACCCAGACTGGGTGGATTTTTCTCCAGATATACACCATTTGCCAACGGACCCAGTGACACACCAGAGGAAATCCTGACCCGGATCGGTAGTGGGAAGTTCACCCTCAGTGGGGGCAATTGGAACACAGTTTCAGACACAGCTAAGGTGAGTCTGTGAAGCCTGAACCCAGCATATGTGAGGCTCAGGAGGCAGGGTCCCACTCCAAGGCTTTTTAGCAGTTCATGAATAGGTGACCTGCAGCCTCATTTCTCTTAAGCGAAATGTCCCACAAATCCCTGTTGCCATCTTTCTCCAAGCAGAAGATTCCCAGGTGACTACCCCCTCCCCCCACCTTGTTTGGACAACTCAGTCATCATTCAGTAGCCCTGCCATTGTGCTGGGCCCTGTGGGGAACAGGGGCTGCATCATCACAGCCTCTGCCTTATGGGAACTTGGTGTGGGGAGACATACAGGCTTGTACCCAAGTAACAGAGATTCCAGCAGCAAAGAAAGGCAGTTCCTCCTGGCAGGGTTATGGGCAAGCTACTGAGCATGGCGGGCAGAGAGGCCTTCTCAAGGGAGGGAACATTTGAGCTTTCAGTATCCAACAGTTTCCAGTTATGGCACCCTCTGTGCCAGACACTCGGGTGCGCCCTTAATGAATAGCACCACCTCACATTAGCTAGATGAGGCAGGTGTTGTTGTTATCCCTGTTTGTCAGAGGGGAAACTGAGGCTCAGAGTTGAAATGACTTGCTCAGGATACTCATTCGATGAGCAGAAGAGTCAAGTTTTGAACCTTGTCTGCTGGACCCCAACCTTAGGTTCTTTCCACTTTCTTACATGGCTTTTAGAAGGTGAAAAATAAAGGAAAGGACTTTCCAGGAAGAAGTCCCAAAGAAGGGGATGTGCTCAGGGAGGCCCTGGGCTGGCATGGAGGGTGGATGGCAAGGGCTACCACAAGGATTCAGGCGGGAAATGATAGGAGATGGTTGCCGTGCTGATTCCCCATCAGCGGGACACAGCTCCCACTGCCCCCTCCCACTGACCCCATTGCCTGCTGTGTCTTAGGACCTGGTGTCCAAGATGCTACACGTGGACCCTCACCAGCGCCTCACAGCTAAGCAGGTTCTGCAGCACCCATGGATCACCCAGAAAGACAAGCTTCCCCAGAGTCAGCTGTCCCACCAGGACCTGCAGCTTGTGAAGGTATGAATGCCCCGGGCATCTGGGGACTCAGGCCAAGGTTCCATGGCAAGGACTTTGGGTAGCAGAGCCAGGAGAAGTCAGGTCTATCTGTCCTCAGGGAGCCCTAGTCTAACATGCAGAGGGGTCCACAGTGTACTCACTGGCCACCAGTCTTTTGGGGGACACAGCCCCAGAAGCTTCTGAAGCCTTTGGTCTGATGGAGGCGGCAGGGCTGTATGACCATAAAGCACTACCAAGACTGCGTTATGGAGGCTGGGTGGGCTGTGGAGCACTGGAAGGGGCTGGCCTGGCCCTGGAGCATGTGCTCTCCTCCCATGGGTGTCTTCCACCACCGTGGGCTGACCTCCCACTCTCTCTCCTAGGGAGCCATGGCAGCTACATACTCTGCGCTCAACAGCTCCAAGCCCACCCCTCAGCTGAAGCCCATCGAGTCGTCTATTCTGGCCCAGCGGCGGGTGAGGAAGCTTCCATCCACCACCCTGTGAGGGGCCAGGGTGTCCAGGCCGCAGGCCGGCGCTAGCTCGATGGAGGCAGCCTACTTCCCAGAGGGAACAGACCTGAGGCCCAGGCCCAGAGGGAGTGGAGGCCCCAGGGACCCAGAAGCATCCAGCCCAGATCACCCCTATTGAGGGTGTGAGAAGTGCCTTCTCCTTCCCCAGGACGGGCTCTTCTCAGCTCAGACTCTGCTGGTTGAAATCGATTCACTGTACAAACTCTTATATTTTTTTAAGGAAAAAATGGCATCAACTACCATGGATTTTTACAAGATCCATTTGCCTTTTTGGGAGCAAAAATAGCCAATGCAGTCCCAGGAGGGGCACTGAGTCACACTAGGGCTTTCTGTGGCTGAGACTCCTTATTGCAGCTTTGGGGTTGTGCCCTGGGCACCAACACAGTTGGCCATCTGTACCCATCTGCACACACCTCTAAGGCAGTCTAGCATCACCTTCCAGAGCCCCTGGCTGTTCGGCAGAACTTGCTCTATCCCCAGTCAGTTCCTTTTCCGTTCTGTTCTGCTCGGGGTCTGGAATTTCTTCCTACTGGAAGAGAGGGCCCAGGCCCTGCAGCTCCCAGCTCCAGGCACCAGAATCTACGTCGACCCGCCAGTGGGTCCCTTGCCGTGAGGGGTCTGGAAAGCACTTTTGTCTGACTTCTGTGGAGTTTGCCACAGGACAGAGCTCACAGGAGGACTGTGGGGTGGCCAAGAGGGACAGGGGCTTTTCTTCATTTCTTCCTCAGCTGGTAACTCAGGGTTCATTTGTCCATGGCCTTTCTAATAAACTTGCAGTTGAGTTGAAGCATGCTCACCTCCGCTTTTCATCCCTGAATTTGCCTTCTCTCTGCTGTCAGGTGTCAAGGACTTTGGCAGCAGCAAGAAATGGACCAGGGCCAAATAGCCCAGCTGCTTGGAGCTCAGGGCATTCGGGGAGCATGTGGGAATGCCGCTGACCCTGCCCACGCCTTCCTGCCAGGGATTCCTTTATGGTGTTGATAACAATAATGGTATTATTAGCCACCAGTGACCAAATGCTGGGCCCTGTGCCTGGTCCTTACATGTATATCTCATTTAATCTTAAAAACTGTGAGGCAGATGCTATTCTATTATTCCGTTTTAGATGGGAAAACTGAGACTCAGAGAGTGGAATAATTCTGTTTGCACCTCTTCCGGCCCTGCACCAGACGCTGGTGAACCAAGTAGCAAACAAGGTCATTGTTTCCATGGGGTCTTGCCACCTAGTAGGGTAAACAAGACAATTAACAAACCAAGGTCAGCTACTGGTAAGACATACACAGACCTAAACTGGGGTGAGAGAAGGGGGTGATCAGGGAAGGCCTTTCTGAGGTGACCCATAAGCTGAGATCTGAATGATGAGAAGGGGCCTGCCAAGCCCTGGAGACGGAGGGCAGAGTCAGGACAAAGGCCACAAGGAGGAAACAGGCTGGGCATGCTCAGGGACCAGAGAGAAGCCAATGTGGCTGTGACATCAGGGCCAGGGGTTTGCACAAGGCGAGGTTGGAAAGGAGGTCAGGGGCCAGTCATGCTGGGCTTTGTACGCAAAGGTAAGGAGTCAGAGTTTAATTCTAAGTGAGGTGAAAGCTCCTAAGAGAATTCAATTTAGCAGGAGTGTTGGACATGATTTGACTGACATTTTTAAAAGATCACTCTGACCAAAGTGTAGAGAATTGGTGGTGGTACGGGGACAGGCAGGAAGCAGGGTGACTGGGTGTACTGCAGTAGCTCAGACAAGAAATGAGGTGGTCTAGACTCGGGGGGTGGGAGGGAATAGACAGGTCAGGATATGCTTTGGAGGTAAAGCTGACGGCACTTGATGGCAGTTTGTATATAGAGGCAAAGAAAAAAGGGAGATTCGTGGGTATCTTCTGGATTTTCGACTTGAGCAATTAAGTACGGAAGGAAAAGTTGGGAAGGAGCAGGTTTGAGAACTCTGTGGGAGATGCTAAATTTTAATATCCAAATAGAGATGTCAACCAAGAGTTGCGGTTAGAAGGTGAAGTTTCCAGAGAGAGGTCTGAATTAGGAGTAAAAATTGGGGAGTTATTAGCTTAGGAAAAGTTTGTAGGGCCAAGAGGCTAGGCTTTTCAAAGTGTGATCCTCTGAGAATTTGTTAGAAATGCAGAATCTCAAGCTCATCCCCAGACCTGCTTAGTCAGAGTCTACTATTAACAAGATCTGCATGTGATCTGTGCATTTCAAAGTTTTGAGAAGTGCTGTTCTAGGGAACCTGCTTAGTCAGAGTCTACTATTAACAAGATCTGCATGTGATCTGTGCATTTCAAAGTTTTGAGAAGTGCTGTTCTAGGGACTGAGAGCAGAGAAGAAAAGGGCCTGTGATGGAGCCCTGGAGCACACTAGCATTTAAAGATGGCATAGTGGGTGGGGAGAGCCAGCAAAGGAGACTGCGCCAGAGCAGTCAGTGAGTGGGACGTGCCAGTCTGGCAAGATTCATAGCCTTATGAACCAGGGCCTTTGCTCTTGTTATTTCTCAGCCTTCCCACTTTAAAGATAAGAAAGCCATGGCCTTAGAGGTGAATAAGGCCTCGTAGGATGGAAGGAGATTCTGACACTAGCAGCTCAGCTTTAGCGCTGGCCTAGGCATGCAAGTTCTGAGCTAGCCGCCTCACCACAGGAGCAGGGAGGGCTGTGTTAGAGCCCCAGGGGCTGAGCAGCCCTCCTGAACACCCACCGATACACACAGTGCTGAGCCCCTGGCCTGGGTGTTCCACTTACCTGAGACTCAGTTTCCCCATCTGTGTAGTGAAACCAATTTCTTGTCCTCTCTACCAAAGGTCACACTGGCCTGGGTGTTCCACTTACCTGAGACTCAGTTTCCCCATCTGTGCAGTGAAACCAACATTTCTTGTCCTCTCTACCAAAGGTCACACTGGACCCCTTCACCCCAGTTGGAATCCAGAGTGTCATCCCTGACTTCATCCCCCTCTTCCCCCCATCCAATCAGCATCCTGGCCCCATCAATTCTGTCTCCTAAATATTTTGGGGATCCATCCCTCTTCTTCATCCTCCCTGCCTTCATATTTTTGTTCTTTGCCACAGCCTAGTAATTCCTTCCAGTCTTTTTGTGTCCCCAACATTCTCCAGTTCGAATCACACACATGACCCCGCATCTGCCCTGTAAGGGCTCCTCACTGTTCACAGGCAGAGCCCAGGCATCCATCCTAGCCGGACACTCAAGTGTCCTGTGTCATCTGGCCCCTGCTGAGCCCCAGCATCAGCTCTCAGAACTTGTCCCCAGATTGCTTACAAAACCTGAATTTGCCATGCTCCTGTCTTCACTGGATTCTTCTGCTATGTGTCCTAGCTAAATGTTTAGGAAGGTAGAAAGTGCAGTTTATACAGTTAAGCTTGTTTTAATTTTGGACAAGGTGGGGTCAGACCCTTAAGAACTCAATGGACTCCAGAAACACAGTTCCCAGCTGCCAGCATCTCAGCCAGGAGCATCCCTTTCTGAGTGCTGACTCCCTGGGAAAATCCCACTAATAGAAATAACGCAGTTTGGTGAAACAAATTGTCAATCTACATGTCCCTAAATTCCAGACTCACTCTTTCCTTTGTTGCTCAAATAGCACTCTCTGAGCTCATACCCTATGGGATGCCCTTCCCATGAACTAGTAAACAAATATTATGTTGAGGTGCTGGACACCAAATGTTTTCCATGCTTTATTTCATTTGATCCTCTTGTGAAGGAGATACAATTAATTCCATTTCATACATGAAAAATATTAAGGCTTGGAGGTTAAGTGCTTTGCCCAAGGGCACAGCTAATGGCAGAGCAGTACTCAAATCGAAGTCTGTGTGATTCTGAAACTCACTCTTAACCAGTGTGTTGTCCCACCCACCTGTCTGCTTCTGAGAATACCCAAGGTCTACTTAACTTGTTCCACAGATCTATCTTGTTGTCAGTCTTTCCCTCAGCAAGTCATGTGGTCATAAAAGTTCCTATAATATTGAATTCTGGTCCTAATGAGAGAATGTAGTTGTTAGAAAGTCACAGTTCCCAGATGGCAAACAGAGAAGAAGCCAGGAAATTTAGGGAGTTTTCTACGGACAGTCTCAGAAGGTAGTGAGTTCCCCATCTCCTGGGCTGCACATGCAGAGAACTAATGAGACTTGTCAAGATCTTAAGAGATTCCTGGTCCTGGTCGGGACTGTTCAGATGATCTTACATGTCCGCTCTGAGTCAGAGACTCAGGTTCTCAGTTGTTGGCACAGGCATCAAAGTCCCAGAGAATTTCTTGCATTTTACCCACTTAAGTATTGTATTTTCCATGATTATTTCTGAGACAGGCACCCTCAAAAAAAGGCTTGTTTCCTACACGTTATCAAACATTTGGTATTTTGGTTAACACGTGGATATAATTCTCTCACCCAGCCCTGCGAAGAACCAGCCAATCTGCGATTTGGTCATTGATTTAACGGCTAAACCAGTAGACATGATTTTTTTTGAGTTCCTACTTTACACCAGGCACTATGTATGTATATGTCATCCGCAGTATAGATATCTCCTGCTTTTCCAAAGTTCAAGTCACACCACTTCAGTTTTACAAAAACCTACATTAGTACCTGTTTTTGATAACCAAAAGAAATTCACAGGGTTTTCACTTTGCTTAAAAAAGGGAAAATAGCATTCAGCACTTGTTTTACAGTGAGCCTAGAGGCAGGGTGCACCCTGGGCAGTGAGAGTGGCCCCGCAAGCTCCTTTCCTGGGAACTATATGCAACACGTCAGCATCAAGCCACCATACTTTTGAACTGCGTCTGAACATTTGTACTTTGTCTTGATATTTTGGGCATCCATTAGCAAGATGTATCCTAAGGTATCAGAAAAGCCTAAGAGAGATTATTTTTTGGGTCTGGGAATACTAAAAAATTGTTCCATATAAATTAATGGTAATTGCTTCTTCACTTTGAAGCCTTTTCAGTTTATGAAAGGTTTTATAGGAACACTCTGCTTTCACATGTAGAGTACTGTACTCAAAGCACTCTTATGAGGTGGGTATTATAATTTCCATCTTACGACAAACTGAAACTAAGAGAGGAAATCTGCCCACAGTCCCCCGGCAGGGAGGTGGCTGAGTCAGGTTTTGAACCCAGGTTTGTCTGGCCCCAAAGCCATCATATACCACCCTGATGCATGGGCTAAACTTCATCCCACAGTGACTCATAAAATCTCACAGTCAGAAGGGCTCTAAAGGGCTAGACCCAATCTCTGCCCACTACAAGAACCTCCCATAGATGGTCATCTGATTTCAGCTCAAATACTGCCGGTGACGGAGGCACCACCACATCCCAAGGCAGTCCCCTCACGGTTGGAAAGTTCCTCCACTTTGAACTGAGGTCTTCTGAGTAGCTTCCGTTTCTTGGGGGATTCCCACTAAGTCCAAGGGACTGGAAGGAGAAATGACTCCACGGTAGCAAGAGGGAAATCTAAGTGAGCACACCCACCTTCATCCCCCAGTGAAGGCGGACAAAAGGCCAGAGCCACGGCTGTGCTGCCAGGAGAGAACAACTCTGCAGGAGAGCCCGAGAGGCTTCCAGGGNAGCTCAAATACTGCCGGTGACGGAGGCACCACCACATCCCAAGGCAGTCCCCTCACGGTTGGAAAGTTCCTCCACTTTGAACTGAGGTCTTCTGAGTAGCTTCCGTTTCTTGGGGGATTCCCACTAAGTCCAAGGGACTGGAAGGAGAAATGACTCCACGGTAGCAAGAGGGAAATCTAAGTGAGCACACCCACCTTCATCCCCCAGTGAAGGCGGACAA